CAGGCTTCAAACACCTTTTACTGTACAGCAATAAAGGAATGGAACAGACTGCCCGCACATGTCAAAGCCAGTCATAGCATGAACCAGTTCAAGAAGAGTGACAAAAGGTGTCTGATGAAAGTAGCTACAGAAAGGGAGAGGAATGATTTTTTATTTTTTAGCTAACACACGTGTAATTTTACCTTATTCTTAGTAATGACCCTCATATTGTCGATAGTTTTAATGACCCTCGTGTAGTAGATAGTCTTTTTAGTATGATAATAAGATGTTATCTCCATTATGGAAAAATAATAAGATATTATAATCTTCATATTATAATAATAAGGTAAAAGGACCCCAATGAAAATAAGTCACTCTGTCTGAACTTTTTGAGTTATCCTAGGTTCTCTACACATACGCTGCTATGTATGATAATCAAAGTAACTGTATTTGTGTATACCTGAATAAACTTACTTACACTGTCATAATGTATTACGTTTTTACTGCTTAAGACTACAAATGCAACAGAAATAATAGTATTTCTTACCTTAAATTGTGGGTGCTGGTATTTGTAGATGATTGTGAAGAGAGTGGAGAGTTATGTTGTGGCCCTACTGGGCTGAGGTGGATGGTAGAGGTTCTGGTACTGAAGGCAATGGTTGTACTGGAGTGTGCATAAATTCTGTAATGGATTTCTGTTCTATTTTACCCCGCAGTACATTATACGACTGATGGTAAGACATCAGCTACTCTAGACACTGTTTCAAAGATTTGTCAGGGTCTTCAGTGAAAAAGTCTAACTTTAGGTCAGTAAATCAGTCAAGTCAATAAGTCAGTCAAGTCAGTCAGTAAATCAGTCAAATCAATCAGTAAACTTAGTCAGTAAGTCAGTCAGTAGGTCAGTCAAGTAAATCAAGTCAGTCAGTCAAGTCAGTCAATAAGTGAGTTAACCCTTTCAGGGTTTCTGATGTACTAGTACGGCTTACGCACCACGGTTATTGACGTACTAGAACTCCTAAATTCTAGCGCCTTCAAATTTAGTGAGAGAAAGCTGGTAGGCCTACATATGAAAGAATGGGTCTATGTGGTCACTGTGCACAGTATAAAAAAAATCCTGCAGCTCACAATGCATAATGAGAAAAAAAAAACTCCGACCATGTTTTTGGTTTAAAACAGCGAGTTTGCAGTGTATTTTCGTATGGTATTTATGGTTGTATTTTAGTTTTCCTGGTCTCAATCTATAGAATGGAAGACATATTACAGAAATTGAGATGATTTTGATTAGTTTCATAATGAAAAGTACCTTGAAATTGAGCACAAAGTAGCAGAAATGTTCGATTTTTACCAAAGTTCAAAAGTAAACAAATCATGCCAAGCGTCCAAAACACGTCAACTGGTGAGTCTAATATTCTTTCACAAGTGCACTGATATTTCTTCACAATTTCTACACTAATGCAGTAGTCTGCATAACAGTAAATCTTCTATTTTTTGTGAGAATAAAAATTCAAAGTGGAAAGCAAAAGAGATGTAATAGGGGCCTGGGGACGTGACTAATGAACAGAGAAAATGTTATTTTAGTGCCAGGAATGTCTGTCTTGTTTATTCTGGACCCTATTTGGAAATTGGCATCTTCTGAAATTTGTGTGAAATTGGCAAAATTGCCAATTTCTGACCACTTTATTGGATAGTTGAGATCGGTAAATGGGTGGTTTCTTGTACCCATTCGATAGAAAAAATGGAGTTCTAGCAAAATGGATATGATTTTTGTCGACTAGTAGACTGAAATTGGCTGAGAACAGGGCTCAAAGTGGGCGAAATCGACGATGCGTAAACATCGTCGAGACCGCTAACTTTGCAAGAGCATAATTCTGTAAGTTTTCCATCAAATTTCATACCTTTGGTGTCATTATGATCGGGAAAATATTCTCTATCATTTCATAAGAAAAATAATTTATTTTTCCAAAAAATTTTCGACCCTGAAAACGAGTTTAGGAGAGGGCCTCTCAACCCGGAAAGGGTTAACCTTTCAGGGTCCATGCCGTAGATCTACGGCTATACATTGAGGATCCAAACCGTAGATCTACGCCATGAGCTCAGCTCACTCTGATAAGCTGTGAGCAGTAAATCTAGGCCTAGATATGAGAGAATACATCTATGTGGTATGTGTGCACCACATAAAACAAATCCTGCAGCACACAGTGCATAATGAAAGAAAAAAAACTGAGACTAATTTTCGATTAAAACAGTGACTTTGCAGTGTTTTTTCGTATGTTTTTATAGTTGTATTTGCGATTTTTTGGTCTCATTTGATAGAATGGAAGATATATTACAGAAATAGAGAAAATTTTGATTGGTTTTAGTAATGCAAATTGCTTAAAACTGAGCTCAAAGAAGCAGAAATGTTCAATTTTTGCCGATGTTCAAGAGTAAACAAATGACCTCACACATTTAATACATGCCAGCTGGTGGGTCTAATATACATTCACAAATGTGGTGATATTATTTATACAATTATTACAATATTGCATAACAGTAAATCATCTATTTTTTGGTTTGAATAAAAATTCATGATGTGAATAAAAAATCAAAATGGAATTCATTTGTAAAGCCTGAAAATGTAACTAATGAACAGAGGAATTGTTAGTTTAGTGCCAGGAATACCTGCATTGTTTATTCTGGAAGTTATTTTGAAATTAGAATATTTTGAACTTTGCATTAAATTGGACAAATTACTAATTTCTGATCACTTTATTTTGCAGTTGACACAGTTGACTTGGTAATTTCTTGTTCTCAATCGATAGAATAGAAGTAATACTAGTGAAATAGCTAAGAATTTGGTTGACTGGAATAATGTAATTGGCCTAAAATGGGAGTCAAAGTCGGCAAAATTGCCGATACATAAATATTGCTGACACATCAAAATTTGCGAGAGAATAATTTTGTCAATTTTCCATCAAATTTTGTACTTTTTGTTTTATTACCTTCAGAAAAAGATTCTCTAGCATTTCTTAAGAAAAAATAAATGTCTTTGCAAACAGTACATTGAGATTTTGTATTTACAATAGTGAGTTGCAATGCAATGAGAGCCTCTATTATGCCTAGGCATTATGAGCCAACTTAACATTATTGGCTTACAGACTACTTAACACTAAGGATTATATCATAGTTGTACAGTAGGATAGTAATAATTTCATAGTTGTACAGTAGATTATTAATTATAAGTGAATCTAATTTGTATAAGACAAAAGATATATTCATACATTCAAAAATGCTTTTTGTGAAAACTATGATTCAATTATATTCCTGTCAACAATGGATAAAAGGTTCAAAGTGATTGTTGAAGTTATGATGTGGGAGTACATAAGTGAGTATCTAGGGTGATTAAGTGGCTTTTGAGAAGTCTTAAATTGATTTTCAGACCGGGTTACTTTAATATCTTCTGGTAGTGAATTCCATATTTTGGGGCCCTTTATGTGCATAGAGTTTTTACACTGTGATATGGACACGAGGTATATCAAAAAGAGATCTGTGTCTTGTGTTGTGGTCATGTGTCCTGTTTAGGTTGGTGAGGAGAAGTTTGAGTGGAGGGTTTATATTTGCATGTATTGTTCTGTGTATGTAGTAGGCACATGAATAAGTATGGATGTTCATAATGGCGAGCAGATTCAGACTTTTGAAAATTGGTGGAGTATGCTGGCGGGAGTGGGAATTTGTTATCATTCTTACTGCTGCCTTTTGCTGGGTTATTAGGGGTTTTAGGTGACTGGATGTTGTTAATCCCCATGCACAAATTCCATATGTAAGATAAGGGTACAGTGCCAGGAGAGCCGATTGTGGAATGTAGTACCTTATCTTTGATAGTGTGCCTACAGTCTTGGAGATTTTCTTGATTTGTTGTATGTGTGTCTGGAACTTAAGGCTACTGTCAAGGTGGATACCTAGGAATTTTCCCTCTGTGAGCCTTGTGACTGATGATCCATTTAGCGTTATGTTAATTGGATCATTTGCAGTTTTGTTTCCAAACTGAATGAAATAGGTTTTGTCAGTATTCAGGGTAAGTTTATTAGTCATCATCCAGGCAGATATTTTCTGCAATTCGGCATTGACTGTTTGCTAGTATGACTGTGTTTGGGTGGGAAAAGACATATGTAGTGTCATCTGCAAATAATATGGGTTTGAGTAGCTGTGATGCATTTGGTAGATCTTTGATGTAGATGAGAAAGAGTAAGAGGTCCAAGGACACTTCCTTGTGGGACTCCTACTGTGATTGGTTGGGTGGAAGAGTTTGCATCGTTTGCATACACATATTGAGTTCTGTTACTAAGGTATGATTTTAGGTAGTTGAGGGAGTGGCCTCTGATACCACAGTGCATTAGTTTGGAGTACAGCAGTTCATGGTTGACTGTATCGAAAGCTGTATGTAAATCAATGAAAATGCCAAGCGGGACTTCTTTCTTTTCCAGTGAGGTATATATTAGTTCTAGCATGTGTATGATGGCATCATTTGTGCTTTTATTATTCCTGAATCCAAACTGACAAGGGTTTAATATGTTGTGTGAGACAAGGTAGGAATAGATCCGTCTATGAATTAATTTTTCAAAGATTTTAGAGAGCAGTGGTAAGTTAGATATTTGTCTATAGTTATTCAAGTCAGCTTGGTCACCTCCTTTGTGGACTGGAACTGAACACGTATGAACGAAGGTTGGGATGGTGATGGCGGGAGTGTCGGGGGTGGTAGGAAATGGCGGTAGGTCTCCCCCGCTGACCCATAACAAGGCGGCAGCTTGAGCTGGGCAAATTTTTTCCACGCCCGCAAACGGAATAGTGTTAAGTTGATTTTTTTGAAGTGTTGTATAAAATTGTGCCACAATTTTTCAATAGTGCAATAACTAAAACATGGCAAATAAATCTGTATAATATAACAGTCTACTTTTACTTTGTAGAAGTCAGTGTTCAACTTCACCTGGCAGCTACATGTTGTTATTACGTACACGCCAAATATCAACTGTAGCAAACCATACCTTGAACTTCAGATGTTCAATGAAACCTTCCTCTTCACCATAGGGCAAGTCTCTGAATATGTTGGTCATCTTCTGGTCGAAGAATATCTTGACTTTCTCAGCACAATGAACTTTCAGCTGCTTGTTCTGGAAAGTATAACGATATTACAGGTTTTGTCTTCAACTTCATCACTTTAAAAATCATGCTAATTTTATACTGTGGTGTAAAGAACAAAAAAGAAACACCTTGAGTTATATTTTAAATTCAAATCAAAATTTTTTTCTAGCTAAATATAAATATTTTGTAAATATTATAGACAAAATAACATATATTTTTTCTCTAATATTTAGTTTCCTTTCTAAATGTAGTTTATTTGTAACACTGGTCTGCATTTGGAATGTTTTTAATTTTTATTTTTATTCATGGTTGCAATCTTACATGTTCTTGGGCTGCTGATCATAAATATCTAAACCATTTTGCTCTATCACGTAAGGATTTTGAATAAAATACAAATTAATGATAATAAAAAATGTGAATTTTTAATAAATTGTTAATTTATTAGAATCAGGCAAGTAATAATGGAAAAGCACATTCTGTTAGTTTGAAGAACATGTGAATTCCAGATCAACATTGTTATGGGGCTATAGGACCCAACATGTATTTACAAGTAACAGTTACTCTGGAATACCTAATTATATTGAATTGATGGGGACTTTGCTCTAAATGTCATAAGGGCTGATCAACCTTATGACTGAGAGGCAGCTGGGTCAAGCCTATTTTTCTCAATATAATAGGTTATACTATAGACACATAAACACACAATTTAAATAAGTAGTTTATAAAGTTGTATTTCTTTTTGTAAAAGTAAAATTAAGGGTGGTAGAATTGTGGTAACTGGAGAATTGTGCTTGGCAACAGTCTTTTGTTTTGGTGGGAGGAGCTTAGCTAGTCTTTCTCTCTCTCCCTCTCACTGAGGCTCTCTCTCTATGGCTGACCTTCAACCTGGCAGGATCTCTGGGTCCTTCTTTCTACCTTTTGGGGCATTATGTGTGCTCCAGGGGTGAGTTTTTATAATTTAAGTTGTGGCCACCATACCCAGGGTGACTAAAGTGTGTCAAAACACTGGTTAGCCCAGAGTTATGTCAAGAAGAGAGAAGGACAAAAGTTGTTGGAATACACCATGTGGAGAACAGCTATGGAGTGTGTAGATCTTTGTTTTGAAAATGTGAGGCTGTAATTGTATATTCTGTACATATCTATTGAGAATACAGTTATATTTTTATAGTAGTAGTTTACATAACCTGTGAAGAGGGCTGGTGAAAGGATATCAGAGACACTCAGGATGATCAGCCATAATGTAAGTATTACCCCTAGACAGATAAGGCCATTAAGTAAAAAGCTACCCCACACTAGAACATATAGTGAGAACCTTATTATCAAAGGAATAAGGGACAAACCAACATAACAAACATGAATCAAATCAAATGATTTTATTAAAAAAATATGTTCCTAATGGTTCGCCTACATACTGAATCAAAGGAAGCAGGACTGCTTTGATTTTCGATTGTGCTGTGCATCGAGACTATTACGTTTCAATGACCAGCAGTAATCCACCATCATGCTGACATTCCATTTGCCCTCGTATCGAGTTTCCATGTTGCAGGTATCCTGATGGAACCACTCTCCTAGTTCCTCACTGTAGTCCCCACAATTGTTTGGAAAATAGTCAAGATGTGAATGCAAAAATGTGCATCTTCACACTCATTCTAAACTAAAGTTGTTGGAAACTTGAAATCAGGTCTTGGATCACTTTTTTCATATTCAGGAGAGCGCCTGTTTCCCAGGAAGTTGTGGACAACCTGCCTGAATGAAAACCAGGTATTCACCTCGACACCTGCTAATGCTCCATCAAAATGCTTGTCCTTCATCAATTCCTGAATCTGAGGGCCAACAATGATTCCTGCCTTTAACTTGCCTTCACTTATATGAAGAAACTTTGACTCCAGGTACTTGAGAGCAGTTTTATTCTTATTCAAGGCCTTCACAAAATTTTTCATAACCCCTAATTTGATGTGGAGTGGTGGCAGCAGAATATTTTTGGGGTCAACTAGTGGCACAGTTATCACATTGTGATTTGCAGGTGAGAAGCTGGTTCTTGGTGGCCAGTCCTTTTGTTCGTAGTGCTGGCTGTCTGCCCTACTATCCCAAAGACACAGAAAATAATGATACTTGGTGTATCCGCCTTGAAGACCTAGTAGGAAAGCAATAACTTTTAAATCACCACAAATGAGAAAATTGTGATTCTGGTACTTGACTGCAGATATTAGTGTCTTAATATTTGCATAAGTTAATGACATTTGGACACTATGGCCAATTGGTACAGATGCAGCTGTGTTGCACTAAGAACAGCAAGGCAGCACCTAGTAATCGACTATTCCATAAGACGACCCAGCAGGACGTCGGTGCCCCATCCACCCCCCTCACCACCCAGAGTGATGCATCACCAACAACAAACATGGCCGACTCACCCTCACCCACCAACCAAGGCGACTCAACTACAACAACACCAACCGTGACTGACTCCCTCTCTACCTCTGCTACCTTCATAGGATTTAACCCATCTGATATGCTCCCAGGTATGACTAATGATCCTGACACTTTAAAGAATTACATCACCACCCTAACGGCAGATAACTTGAATCTTCGTGCTGAAAATATGTCTCTCCGCGCAACAATAACAAACCACGAATCTAAGTTACTTCACCTTGAGAATAAGATCAACAGCCTTGAACAACAGCTAACATCACCTGGCACGACTGATTTTGGAAAGACCCTCCAATCAGTCATAGCCAGCCACACAGATCAAATAACTTCCCAAAACACAAAGATTGAAGATGCTGTCAAGGACTGGAAAATAAACATGGATACCCAATTGAACAATTATTTTGCTTACCAAGATGATAAGGCAGAGCAAGAAAAGCTAGCCGATGCAGTAGTGATTAACAGTCAACTCTTTCCTAGTGAATTAAACCATACCAACTGCAGAGCTACAACTCTCCAGATCATACGCGACCCCCTACAGGTTAATGTGCCAGTGTCGAAAATAAAAGAATTACGGTTACTAGGGAACCAAGGGCGAAAGTGTTATGCTCAGATTTCACACACAAGACAGAAAAAGAACTAATAAGTTCATCTATTAAAGCAAAAAAAGATATATACATAAATGAGTCTCACAAGAAAACGACAGAACTTCCTGTACAGAGTGAGAAAACTAAAACGTGAGAATAATGATAAAATTCACCAGTGCTTTGTACATGATGGACAAATTCTAGTAAGAAAAACAAATGTAGGCCGTGTGTACTACATTACAAATGAAAATGAACTAGCAAACTTCCTTCATGATGCAAACATTACAGAGTCTGACTGATATTAGTGACCAAATCATTGTACTACGTTAGTGTATGTTATTATGCCATTATTGAACTAATCCCTGTACTATCACCTCCTGGATAGTATTTACTACCTCATTATCCCATGTGTCCCACACAATTCCTTGTGTGACCCAATTTGTGTTATCTTCCCAGATTTCCCTTTCACAATTTATTACTTGTTAATATGATACTTACTCTTTAATAATATCTGAATTACCATTTATTCCTACTTAAGCACTGTTATAATTCTTTTATAATCTTACCTAATTTTCCCTTTGCTCCCAAACTACAAATAACAAACTAGTGTATGCTCCTACTGCACTACTGTGCAATTCATTGTACCATCTTCCACTAGCTAGTATCAGCTACCTCAAATAATATTTCTATAGTGATATTAATTGCTCAAACTTTATGCTATAAGCCAAATCCTACTCCCAGATTAATTTCATATCATAGTGTCAACCTATTTAAAGGTTGTTTTACCACTACTTAATTTAGTCCCTTTTCACATGGTGACTTATTTAGCAGTTGCAATCACAAAAAACAATGGATTTGGATTATTACATATGAACCCGCGGGGTGATGGTCACGTGTTGGTAAACAATGGCACACTGAGCATGAATGGCGTGGGAGACTGGCTTTGTGTGCGCGGTGACAGGCGGATGGGTCTAATCACGAAACTCGAGGCCAAATTTTGCCGAAAAAATTTGCCGAAAGTCGAATTTCACGAAAGTTGATGCTGCCAAAACTCGGGGGTCAACTGTATCTCTCCCGCCTGCATTCCAGAGAGTACAGGTTCAGGAACTTCAAGCACTCCCAGTAATTGGGGTGTTTTATCTCCGTTATGCGCGCCATGAAGGTTCTCTCTACATTTTCTAGGTCAGCAATTTCACCTGCCTTGAAAGGTGCTGTTAGTGTGCAGCAATATTCCAGCCTAGATTTAGAACAAGTGACCTGAAGAGTGTCATCATGTGCTTGGTATCCCTAGTTTTGAAGGTTCTAATTATCCATCCTGTCATTTTTCTAGCAGATGTGATTGATACAATGTTATGGTCCTTGAAGGTGAGATCCTCTGACATGATCACTCCCAGGTCTTTGATGTTGGTTTTTCGCATGCAGATTTGGGTGTCATCTGCAAAGGAAGACATGGTGCTGCGGCTGACATCCTTGTCTATGTCAGATATGAGGATGAGAAACAAGATAGGAGCGAGTACTGTGCCTTGTGGAACAGAGCTTTTCACCGTAGCTGCCTCAGACTTTGCTCTGCTGACTACTACTCTTTGTATTCTGTTTGTGAGGAAATTATAGATCCATCGACCGACTTTTCCTGTTATTCCTTTAGCACGCATTTTGTGCGCTATTACGCCATGGTCACACTTGTCGAAGGCTTTTGCAAAATCTGTATATATTACATCTGCATTCTTTATGTCTTCTAGTGCATCTAGGACCTTGTCGTAGTGATCCAGTAGTTGGGACAGACAGGAGCGACCTGCTCTGTTGCCCTGGGTTGTGTAACTGATGGGTATCTAGATGGGTATCTAGATCTTTGCTTCTTAGGACCCTTTCAAAGATTTTTATGATATGGGATGTTAGTGTTATCGGTCTGTAGTTCTTTGCTTTGTGGAGTGGGGCTATGTCTTGTTTTTAGTAACTGTGGGACGACCCCCATATCCATGCTCCCTCTCCAAAGGATGGTAAAAGCACGAGATAGGGAC